CCACGAAAGCTTATGCTCTAATAAATTTGTTAGTCTCTAAGGTGCCACAAGTACTCCTAGTCTATTTTTGTGATCCAAACTATAGGCAATTGGGGGAGAAGGGGAAAACACTGCATAAACAGTAAACGGTGAATTTGGTATTTTAAGATTCTTTCAGTAGTAATACTGTCAGGAGTTACTTGTACACAGATAAGGAGAACTTCTGAAATGTTACCTCAAGTCATGCATACTGTTTTTTGAGTGTGTGTGAATATAATCAACTTCAGAACTGTGCAAGTGATTGTTCCATTCCCATCCCAATCAATGGGAGTTATCCTGGAATTGACATTGACAACTGAGGAGCTATTTTCTCAAGAAACACTAGCTCTGGGAATCAATCTTTTATGCCTTTGATACTCAGTTTAAAAGTAGTGTAGATACAGAGTGTGACATTGCAGTCTATATAATTTTATAAAAATATGCTAAAGAGGGAATATAATGTAACTGGAATATGCTTTATGCAAAAGGTCTTCTGTAAGGTATTATTACAAAGCTTATAATCTACTGAGTGATCATCCTATTTGTATAAATGTACCACTCTTGTATCTGAAACTAGAAATATGAAATATAACTCTGTGGGCCATTAATGGTGGTTTGGAATCTTGATAACTCCCATTAACCAGAACAATTGACTGCAGATGGCTGTTTTACCTGCAAGTCTTCCTGTATACGTGTGTGCTGGCAAGTGGGTAATGAAGTCTTGCAGTGACGTGATCATGTCACCTGAACTGGAATCCATCTTTAACCTGGTGTCTTTTCATTGAGAAGGAGGGGGTGGGAACCCAGAGAGGGACAAAGGATTTCTGCCTTATGCAAAAGATATATAAAGGGGTGGAACAGAACAAAGGGGGGGAGAGGAGCCATCATGAAGAATTCCCTAGCTACCACCTGAGCTGGAACAAGAGCTGTACCAGGGGAAAGAATTGTGCCCAGACCTGGAAGGTGTCCAGTCTGAGGAAAAAACTTACTGAAGCATCGCTGAGGGTGAGATTATCTGTATTCAGTTTGATTAGACATAGATTTGCGCATTTTATTTTATTTTGCTTGGTGACTTTGTTCTGTCTGTTACTACTTGGAACCACTTAAATCCTATTTTCTGTATTTAATAAAATCACTTTTTACTTATTAGTTAACTCAGAGTATGTATTACTACCTGGGGGAGCAAACAACTGTGCATCTCTCTCTATCAGTGTTATAGAGGGCGAACAATTTATGCGTTTACCCTGCATAAGCTTTATACAGGGTAAAACGGATTTATCTGCGGTTAGACCCCATTGGGAGTTGGGCACCTGAGAGTTAAAGACAGGAACACTGTTAGCTGCTTTCAGGTAAACCTGCAGCTTTGGGGCAAGTAATTCAGGCCCTGGGTCTTTGTCGGAGTAGACGGGAGTGTCTGGCTCAGCAAGACAGGGTGCTGGAGTCCTCAGCTGGCAGGAAAAGCAGGAGCAGAGGTAGTCTTGGCACATCGGGTGGCAGCTCCCAAGGGGGTTTCTGTGATCCAACCCATCACACAAAGAATTCCTCTCTGGCTAACAGCATGTGAGAGACCAATTGTTGAAATGATATCTGAAGGGATCAGCACAGATGCTTTCAGGACTAGCAAAAGAATGGCTCTGGAGCAGTGATCAAAGCTCCTGAATGTTCTGGTCCCTGGAAACACACTGTTAAAACTCTGCATTTTCCTTTGATGACACATTGGGTGTGTGTGTATATAAAAGGAGAGAAATTTGGACTATGCTCCAACTGCCTTTTGTTTTATAACTTCATGCTTCTACTATGAAATTCCTGATTGCAAGCGGTATATATTTTTTCCCCAATTAAAGTGAAACAGTTTAATCCAGGGAAGCTGAGACAGCTGTAACAGAACCAGCCTTTCTCCTTAGTGGGCACAGGGTGCAACGGTGCCGTTCGGTGATTACAAAGCTGACTTGTTTAAAAAGCAGTGGGTGTGGGTTTTTCTTTCCCCCAACCTCCATCCTCAAGTTGTCCTCTTTCACATTCTGCTCTCAACTGGCCCTTTCGCCTAGTGAATCCATTTTTTCCATCAGAAGACTACTATCCCTTTAAAAATCATATGTATAGGAGCTTTCCCCCCTCCTCCCACTACTTTCCACTCTGGTCAGTGACAAAGCAGGACTTCATTTACTTTAGGGTCCTGCTGTGTCAAAAAACACCAAGGAACTTCAACACAGGACACCTCACTCCTGTAATAAGAGACAGATTACCAAATAAAGAGAATAGAAACTTCTCCTCCTTCCATCCAAGTAACAAAAAGCACTTTACAACTGTTAACTTGTTATGCCTCAGTATCCCTAGGAGGAAGAAGGGTTACTCATCACTTTACTGACTACTGAAATGCAAACACCTCTGGGGTGGGACATGGCAAATGTTTAACAGCACACAGCAACACTACACAGCACTTTAGGACAGGATATGAACACTGTATCACATAGCTGCATCCTGGCACTTAAATACTATGGAGATGGGCACTCTGAAATATTTTTGTCTAGACTGAATTGAAACAGCAGAGGGAATTTGGGTAGATAGCATGTAACTACCTGAGTTAGAATCTGGTCAGGATCCTAAAGGGGAAAGCCCCACCCATACAGGGAGCACCACAGGATCTGTAATGGCCACAAGCAGTCAGGAACTCTGCCCATCCCTATAGAGCACGGTGCCTGCTCACCCCTGCTCGCCAGCACTGACTCAGAGGGAAGAGCACCACCTAGTGACCCAGGCCGTAAAGTTACTGAACTTTGGGAACCTTACACGACAGTACCTTTAACTGGGAGCACACTGCAACTCTGCAGTAATGGATGAAATCCAAAACATCAACCGGCCTCACACCCAGGCTGAGCAGGACGCTGAGATCATCCACCAGCAACACGGGGCATTTCCAGGAATCGCTACCAGAAGCCATCAGGGATGTCCGGACAAACTCATACATGGTTTTCAGGTTGGAGCCATCTTTGCTGGAAAGAGGAACAGGAGATTCTCACTTGGCCTGGTCTCACCATGGTTTTTGTACTGCATTAGCTATCGCACAGAATCCAGCAGTGTAGGGCTGGAAACTAGTGGGGGTCTGTCTACCTCAGCTGGAAGTTATACCTCCAGCTCCTCTGTAGACATGCTCATAGTTAAAGCAGTACAGCCTATCTAATGCGGATGCAGTTATACCAGCAAAAATGTGCTTTGCACTGATACATGCACCTTGATACAGCTATAACTAGGGCCCTACCAAATTCAAGGCCGTGAAAAATGTGTCATGGACCGTGAAATCTGGTCTTTTGTACTTTTACCGTATACTATACAGATTTCACAGGGGAGACCAGCATTTCTCAAACTGGAGGTCCTGACCCAAAAAAGGATTGGGGGGTTTCACATGGTTATTGTAGGGGGTCGCAGTATTGCCACCCTTCCCTCTGCGCTGCCTTCAGAGCTGGGTGGCTGGCGTGCAGCAGCTGCTGGCCAGGCGCCCAGCTCTGAAGGCGGCGCCCCACCAGTAGCAGCACAGCAATACCCTACCATGCCACCCTTACTTCTGCACTGCTGCCTTCAGAGTTGGGTCAGGACCCCTGCAGTTACAACACCGTGAAATTTCAGATTTAAATATCTGAAATCATGAAATTTATGATTTTTTAAATCCTCTGACCCTGAAATTGGCCAAAATGGACCATGAATTTGGTAGGGCCCTAGCTATAATTGTACCCACACTAGTCGGGGGTCCCACTGCCTTAATTTAGTCTACTTCTAAACTAATACAATGGGACAAATGCAGTGTGTAGTCAAGTATCTACAGAAACTGGCCTTTGGAGTTATACATCAGAAAGCAGTAATAGCAGATTGCTACTGCAAGGCTCTGTCTTTAGCTGCCTGGTGGCTTATACAGCTGAGCTTCAGATCGGAGAAAGATTCCCTTCTAATTAGCTCCTTAGTTTCAGTAATTCCCTCAGCACTTTGCAGCTTACTGGCAGACTAGAGTGTGCAAGGAAGGTAGGAACAGAGGAGAGGGTGACCTCCCTTAGTCCTCAATGGAGGGAGGGATGGAGCACAGTCCCTCTCTCAGCAACCAGAAGAGAGGGGGAAAGGGATCATCTTAGCAGTGTGGGTATTTCAGGGTTTGGATTCATTTCCATTTGCGAGTGTGAATTTAATGCCAGTGAGAATTGCTGGACTGACAGCCCAGGAGACCAACTCATTCTATTTAGCCACACAACAGGTACGGCCTGGACAGCTGCAGTGCAAACAACACACGCACTGCCCAGCTCCTGTTGCCTGAGCCCTGCCCGGCTCAGCAGGGTTTGGGAGGGAGTTTAGTCCCACTCCTTTGCCTCACTGCTGTAATGTGAGGCCAGTTAGTGGTAGGGGTCATGCTGTTGTCTGTGATGCAGACACCGGTATACCAGGAACTAGACTGAGAGCTCAGCATCACAACAGGCGGCAACATTTCTAATCCCAAGAGTTACTGGCTGTACCTCTTCCAAAGCCCCAGAGCTTTACCTTACAAACTGAAGGGGATTGGTCTGCCCCACATGCTGCTCCTCACCAAAAAAGACGTCAAAGCAGGATTTCAGGCCTTCCAGGAACACAAGCTGTCCCCGCTCTTTTGCTGCGGTCAGACTGACTCCCTGGAGGAGGGGGAAATATTGTCTTACACAAGCAAACAGCTGCAGAAGAATGATGCCAGTGGAGTCCCAAGTGGATTTGTGGCCTATTTTGATAAAGTCTCATCTAAACATGCTAATAAAGCCAATACCCGGCAGGATCTTGCACAGCTACTCAGTCTGACAGTTCTGTTTCACACATTGCTGGACACATTTACCTTCCCGTGTTTTCAGCAGACGGTCCCAAAGAACAGTCAGGAATAGCAACACCCAGACACTGAACCCTTCGGTGGCTTTTCAGGTTCACAGAACCTTAACACCACACTAATTAAATGGGTCCTCACATTACCCCAGGGAAGTAGGTGGCATCATTGTTATCTTACAGCTGGGGAAGCCAGAGACTTGTCCAAAGCCAGAGTGTGGGTGTAAAAGCCCAGATTAGAATCTAGGCATGCCCGCTCCCCATTCTGTGCTGAGACAGGCTCTCCTTCCGCACTCTCTACTGCTTCACATGCAAGAACACTTGCTCTTTGTACCTCTCCTTTGGGCAGCAGGAGGATCAGGGCATTTTAGCACTAGCTCTCTGTGAACCCAGCCTGACTAGATCTTGCGTCAAGCAGTCTCTAAACTTCCCAAGACAGGGTCTGGGATGGGGAGAAAGGAGGAATGACTGAGAAGGTCACAAAACTCTCCTCTACACCCAGCGCTCTGTAACTGCCCCCCCGGCCAGATGTGCACCACGCAAACCCTGCACTCAGTCAGGGCTCCAGAGACAAGCCAGTAACCCTTGAAGGGAGGCAGCCATTGTATGCAGTAACAAGGTTATGGAAGGTGGAGTTTTTGGCTATCTCAGGGCTTCCTACAGCACCCAGCAGCATGGTATCCAAGAGCGGATATTGTACTTTCCCACGTCTGAGCTCATCATTTCCCCCAAGTGCTCTGCTGTGAACAGTTCATTCATCTGGCCTTCAAGGACGGTGGAGGACTTACAATGGCCACCTTCTTGCAACATTTTTTAGCCATCACTGTGGCAACAACAGTCACTTGGCAACATTAACTCGTCCAACCTAGCTACCACCCACAAGCCAGGTGTGCCTGCAGTTACGGAGAGCACGGTAAACAGGCCAACCCAGTAGCTGGGCGGTTTATAGAAAGTAAAAATACATCCGAGATTACTCTGCTGTTCCTGCCCTGGCAGGGTTCCTATCCAGTCCTGTGCTTTACCACCCAAGCCCTGCCTCAAATACTTTGGGATTCTTGGCAGCTGCTGGAGAGGAATTATTATTACAATTAAGTCTCCATTGACATGGGTTCCCAGGCACAACACTTTATGTTACTTCAACTGTAATATTTCTTCTATAGCACCTTCCAAGAATCTCAAAGTGCTTGACAAACACTGATTATCTGGCATCACAACAACCATTATCTCTGTTTTACCATGAGGAAACTGAGGCAGCAGAGACCAAACTGATCACTGGTGTAACTCTATTGGTTTCACGGGACTTCTATAACCAGAAGTAAATTTGGTCCAGACTCTGATTTTCAGGTGTCCAGAGCACCTGCAGCTCCCACAGACATCAACTGGTGTTACAAAAAGCCCCGCACTTTTCAAAGTCAGGCCTCAGGGGACTTGCCCATGAAGTCAAAGTCAACACCAGAGCCAGGACAAAAGGTCCCAGTCTCCTGCGTCCCAGTCCATTGTTTAACTACTGGAACATCCCCCTTCCCTTTATCAATTTGGCTCTCTTTTGTTGAGTACATTGTAGCTGCCTGGCGTATTCCTCTCTGGTTCGCTCTGTTCTGGGGGGAAATCCAGCACTTGTTACAGTCATAATCAACAAAGCTATTTCAGTAACACGTGTTCTTCTATCATCTCGTTTCAGGAGCACCTTTTCTAGCCATAAGATTTTTACGCACTGATCCGACTATACTTTTTAAATGAAGGTTGCTCCACCAGGGGGAGAGAGGAAAATTAGTGCAGAAGTTTTTCAGTGTTTTGGCTCACTAGAAATTGGGTTGCTAATCAGTACAATAGGCAGCTAGAGGAGAGAGGATAAGATAGAAAGTTTACCAAAGGGTGCAGCAAGCCTTGTTTCAATATGGCATTGCTCAATACTCACAACTGGCAAGCCAGGCTAGGATTGGTTCATTCTTGAATGCTAGGAGAGAGATACACGAGTAGGCCTGGCGTATGTTGACGAGAACAAAGGTAGCTGTAATGTAGTGAGGAAGATTGCTTCTTTTCTTAGATGAGTGTGTCTGTACATCTACCTGAGAGAATTGCTGAAATCCTCGAGGCAGGAGTCCCAGGAGAGATGGGATCCAGAGGCAGACATTCAATTTGTGAAGTTTCTAGTGTGCACAGTAGGGAGAAGGGTAAAAATAGCTATGTTCCTACATCCTTAGTTAACTGCTTAATAAGCATTGTATATCATCTGAACCTCACAATGCTCCTAGGAAGCTATCCTCATTTAACAGACGGGGAAACAAACAGAGAGATGCAGTGATTTGCTCAAGGTTACGCAGCAAGGTCAGTGGCCGAGGCAGGGATAGACCCGTGTCTCCTGATTTCTAGCACCATGCTACAGCTAACCCCTCCCTTATTAGGTAATCAAAATTTAGGCTGCAACATGGTAGATTTCAGCTTTTTCCGCTTTCTTATTTGGAAAAGCTAGTGCGAGTGTCTGGTCTGTAAGAGATGTTCACTACAAGTGACTAGTTCCCACTGTTTTGGAAGCTTGGCATTTTCCCAAAAGACCCTATCACAGAGGGCAGCAGTGGGAGAGAAGGGACAAGGTTTCGCCAGATAAGGAGGAGGTCATTTCCAGGAAGGCTAACCTCACATTCTCTTCTTTGTGGATGCACTCCTTCAGAGCTTATCGGCTGCCACATGTGCACTGCTAGTGATATGAGAGACAGGTCTGCACAGCTTCCTTTCCCAGCTGGGGAGAGAATGTCATTCATCAATGCAGATGCCAGACAAGGACTGTACAAGGGAGTATAGAAAATGTGGCTTTGGTGTAACATTTTCCATCACTGCCAGTTGACAGGGTTGGAAATTTGGACAAATACCTTAATCTAGTGAAGGCTACTGGGGGTGTCCGATAAGTAGCAGATTCAGATTAATCTTTTTCCTTGCATTAAATCAGGCCTGACTCTGCCGTTCATTGAGACAAACTAATCTTCCTGGACAAATTTCTGGAAAGAAATCATTCAAACCCATGGCTAGAATCTTGGCTGTGATTTTGCAATCAGTCGAAGGGAAGGGGCTCTTTGTTTAAAGAACAGGATTGTTCTTTTCAACGTGGCCCTTTCGTTTTCAGCACAGGCACACTGTGCAGGGTTGACCAACAAAATGTTTCAGTTTGTATCATAAGAACGGCCTTACTGGGTCAGGCCAATGTTCCATCTAGACCAGTATACTGTTTTCCGATAGCGGCCATCTCACACATGCTTCATCTAATCCTCACTGTCCTCTCACTTTTCACATTCTCCCAGGAGAGACAGATCACAGCAACTCTCATTAGTAGCACTCACACACACACACACACACACACACACACACACACGCGCGCGCTCTCTGGCTGGCACACACCTGCAGATTTCCTCCCTTTGGCTGGGAATCACTCCTTGTCACACCCAGCACAGGGCCGGCAGATTCCACCAGAGGCTGATTTGGACTCAAAAAGTGTGGAAATCCAGCTTGCAGGTGATATTTACCCACTAGAATCCTGCCAAGAAAACAGGGTGGGAATGGAAATCTTACTGAAGCCTATTATGCAACTACGAAGTCACATCAAGGAAAAACCAATTCCAGGCCAAAAAAAGCCCCAAACAAACATTCTATTACATGACAGATGGAAACAACCAAAAAACCTACGTGAAACATAGTTAGTTGCCACCCACTTGATAAACTGCTGAGCTGCATTCAAAAACCCTGAGTAATCATATGCTGGTTAGTCCAATGTCAATCCTGGGTAAAATAATGGAATGATTAATTTGGGATGCTATCAACAAAGCATTGGAGGGCAGAACCTAAAAATACAATTAATGCCAGTCAGCTTGGATTCATGGAAGGTAGGTCTTATCAAACAAACATGTTGGGGCGGAGGTGCCAGGATTACAGGTTTAGATGATAAAAACAACTGTGTGGATATAGTATACTTGGATTTTCCCAAAGCTTGATTTAGTTACCACATGACACATTGATTAAAAAAAAAAATAGGGCACATATTACATATCAGATGATTAAAAACTGGGTCACTGATAGATCTCAAAATGTAGTTGCTATCTGGAGATATCAATGAACGAAGCTGTTTTTAGCAGGGGATCCAGGGATCGGTTCATGGTCCAATGCTACTTAATATTTTTACCAACGATTAGACAATGTTATCAAATCTTCACTGGTAAAGTTTGCAGATGACACAGACTGATGAGGTAGCGTATAACGAGGAGAACAGGTTACTGTTACAGAGTGATCTGAATTGCCTAGTTAAGCGGTCACAATCCAACAAAATGCATTTGAATACAGCCAAATACCAGGTAGTCCACCTGCAGGTTCTATCTACAGGAAGGCAGACTCGGCCCAAGTCTACCCTACAAATGGTGGTCAATGCAAGTATTGTTAGCACACAGCCGCCACAGTTAGTATATTGCTCAAACACGTGCATACTTTGCTCCTTGCATCGGCACAGCACGTACTCACCAGGAGTGCCTGTGGCAATGTACACTCTGGTGTCCTATGTGCAATTTGTTATCATGTGACACACTCTCTTTTGGGATATTTTTGCAATGCATGATGTGGCAGAAACGAGTTGCACAGGGATGACTGGGAGCTAGGCGTCAAGCTCTCACCAGGCAACTTTCTCCATCCCATATTACTATTCATAGCCCATAATTTTGGTGCCTTTTTTTCCCAAGTCCCACAGACCCACGCGGAACCTCTTGCTGTCTGTCATCTCTGACAGAAGGACGGCGCCTACACAGCTCTATGCTGTTGTCACGAGCATTGCAAACACAGTTGAATGATCTTCCGGTATTTGCAGAGCTGCAAGAAGAACTGCAGCTGCTCCATGAACCCCTCCAGCAATCTTTGAACTGGTTTTCGCTATGACAATTTTTGTGGAGGACAGACTGCTGTAGGACATAGCGAAAACCAGTTCAAAGATTGCTGGAGGGGTTCACGGAGCAGCTGCAGACAGTGGAGTGCCACTTTTGGGCTGGAGAAACGAGCAGTGACTGGTGGGATTGCATCGTAATGCAGGCTTGGGATGACAAGCAGTTGCTGCAGAACTTTCAGGTGCGCAAGGCCACATTTCTGGACCTGCGTGCCGAGCTTGCCCCAGCCCTCCAGTGGAGGGAGACCAGAATGAGAACTGCGTTGACAGTGGAGAAGCAAGCGGCAATCACACTGTGGAAGGTAGCAAAGCCAGATTGCTACCAGTCAGTGGGAAATCATTTGGGAATTGGAAAATCCACCATGAGGGCCATTGTCATGGAAGTGTGTAGTCCATTAATCGTCTCCTGCTATGCAGGACTGTGACTCCTGGCAACGTGCAGGACATAGCGGATGGATCTGCAGCAATGGCGTTTCCGAACTGCAGTGGGGAGATAGGTGATATGCATATGCCTATTTTGGCACCAGCACATCTTGCCCACAGAGTACACCAACAGAAAGGCCTGCTTTTCTCTGGTTATGCAAGTGCTGGTGGATCACCAGGGAGCTTCACTGACATCAATGCTGGCTGATCAGGTGAGGTGCATGAGGCTCTCATTTTTAAGAACGTAGGACCGTTCAGAAAGATGCAAACAGGGACATTAATTCCCAAGCGGCAGATTTCCATTGGCGACGTTGAACTGCCAGTAATGATCCTAGGGGACTCAGCCTACCCCTTGCTCCTCTGGCTCATGAAGCCATACACCGGCCACCTTGACAGCCCCAAGGAAAGATTCAGCTCCTCGCTCAGCAGGTGCAGAGTGATGGGTGAAGGTGTTTTTTGTCGATAGAAGGGATGCTGGTGTTGTTTACTCACAAGATTGGATCTCAGTGAAAAAAAAATCCCATTGTTTACAGCTGTCTGCTGTGTCCTGCATAATAGCTGTGAGGCAAAGGGGGAAAAGCTGCCTCCAGCGTGGACATGGAGCGGCTGTCTGCTGAGTTTGAACAGCCAGACACAAGGACTATTGGAAGGTTGTGCCAAGGTGGAGTTATGCAGCTGAGGGAAGCCTTGAAAAACCACTTTAACAGTCAGCCACAGTAATGTGGTGTGCTAGACAATGCTCAACCTGGCCCTGACATTTTGGGGCCTGTTAGGGAGTGTGTGCACTAAGCACCCCATCTATGAATATAACACTGGCACTGGACCTATTCATTGTGCACTGCTTGCTGTACATTTATTATTCTACACTGGGTTTGTCACTGATCCTATGAGTTCTATCGCACCGCACAACAACCAATGTGTGCTTTCACTTACACTAGGCATCCTACAGTTTATGTCGTGAAGTCATAAAGATGAGTTATTTTTCCAAAAATAGAATTTTATTGAATAACAAAACCAGTGCAAAAAAAACCACGCTGTGTAATTAAAAACAAATACATTAAAAACTTTTGAAACAAATTAACAGGACAGAATTTAACAAGAGGAAAGAACATTGATGTCCATTTCAGACCATTCTGGTGACACATATAGCACCCACGGCTCTCACAGGCCAGTGTTTGTGCGCTGTCCTTATGGTCCCCAGGTGTGGTGTGGAAGGGATGCATCCCCTGACGTCATGAAGAAATTTGGGGTGGGGTTGGTAAGGAAATGCTACAATGGTGTTCTCCATTGACTGCAAAGAGAAGTGAGCCCCTGCTTTCTGAACCACCTGCTGGACAACAAGAGTCTGCAGCATCGGTGTTTGCTGCTGAAGAAGCCCTATCGTATCCAGGTGCCTCTCCTTCTCCTTTTCTTGCTGGGACTTTCTCCAGTCTACTTTCTTTCTTTCTTTCATTCTTTCTCCATAGTGTCTACAACATTCATCCTCCATGCCATGTGCTCACAGTCTGATGCAGCACTGGCTTGCAGAATCTTGCTGAACATCTCCTCCCAAGTCCTCTTCTTTCTCCTCCTTGTCATGGTCAGGTGTTCCATGGGTTTGGAGGTGGCACCCCCTTTAAGGCCACAGCGGCAGAAGCTAGAGATAAAGCAGGCAGAAGAATCATATTTATAGTCACAGCAGAGAGCGAAAGTGAAGTTTTTGAACTCCCTTGCCTTGTTCCCCGAAAGTTTTAAATGAGACATGCTTATTGACATTACAGTTTTGGAGCACCTCAGCACAGCACTGCGGTGGTGATTTTAGTCAATTTTTCC